CCTGTCATCACAGCTACTCAGGAGGCTGAGATCTGAGGATTGCTGTTTGAAGCCAGCTTGGACAGAAAAGTCCATCAGACTCTTATCTCCAATGAAATCACAGAAAAATCTGGAAGGGACACCATGGCTCAAAGTGGTAGATTGCTAACTTTGAGCAATAGGAGCTTAGGGACAGCACCCAGGCCCTGAGTTCAAGCCCCACAAGTGAAAAACATAAAAGTTAATAAAAAAGAAGGCAAGAAAGGGCAGGAGGTGTTTCTGTCAGGGTAGCTTGGGCAGAGGCTGGTCTGGATTTTGCAAACACCATGGAGGTATAGATCTTGAGTTGGGGAGATTAATTTTTATCTCCAGTACAAATTATTGTTCACCTCTGAAGGTAAAAATCCTTGTGTGCTTAGTTGTGTTTTGTTTGTGTTGTTATTGGGGCTTAGACTCCGGGCCTGGGCACAGTCCCTGAGCTTTTCCACTCAAGGCTAGAGATCTACCACTTGAGCCACAGCTCCATTTCTAGTTGTTTTTTTTTTTGCTGAAATAAGAGTCTCACAGAATTTCCCGCCTAGGCTGGTTTTGTACCACAATCCTCAGCTCTCAGCCTCCTCTGTAGCTAAGATGACAGGCATGAGCGACCAGCACCTGGCATATCTTGCCTTTTCAAGATGGTATCTTCCTTTCTTCCTGTCAGAGGAGTGGGAGATGCCAGCTCAGCTCACCTTCTACCTGAGGATATTTCATTAAGAGCAACATTCCATAGCGTAGGGTCGAGCTCACTGTTCTGTGCCAGCAAAGAAGAGATTGAGGGTGGTGAGCACCAAATGCCTGAGGCTGAATTCTGTGTGTGGATCCTTTTTATCCTGGGAGAGAAGGAGATCATGAATAGGATTATCTTCTTCTTTCTCTTTCTTTCTCTGTGTTTTTTGGGTTCCCGCCCCTCTCCCCCCCACCTCCCTGCAATGTAAAATGTAGATTTCTATGTGTGAGTCCTGGGCCTTGAACTCAGGCCTGGGTGCTATCCTTTCACTGCTTTGCTCAAGAATAGCACTCTACCACTTGAGCCATAGCATTACTTCTGGCTCTTTGGGGATGAATCTCCTATGGACTTTCCTGCCTGGGCTGGCTTTGAACCATGATCCTCAGATCTCAGCCTCCTGAATGTCTAGGATTACAGATGGGAGTTACTGATGCCTAGCAAGGTAGATATTTTTGGAAAT